GCGGTTCAAAGCAGCCCATCTTTTCCTAAATACTGCGAAGACATACAGAAGTCAAGCGACTGATGCATAATACCACTGTTACTTGAAAGAAGTGGGAGGTATACCTCCTCCCCACCCCCAGTCCTGGTAGGAAATTGCTGATTCTGTCTCAATAGCATCTTCATCCTGCATCAGAGCCTGTGCTAACTGATGAAGAAGGGGGAATTCACAGAGACTGCTTCAGGTGTTGAGCATAGGTGCGATAGTGACCCCTGGCTTAGGAACCCAAGTTGCTTGTGGTCTGCAGAGAGATGTCTGTCTTAAAAGTGTCTACACCAGGTACTTTATAGCTGGAACTGTGTGGCAACTTTAGAGTCCTCTTACACTCTTCAGCGTCCATCTATGACACCAGTGTAGTCTTTTGTGAGTAATCTGTCACTCTCTTCTGCCCATGGGACAGCTCTACAGAGACTGCAGCTGTTTTGCTCTCCTCTTTCAGACCTTAGCAAAACTTCCTGTGGAGGGCTGCTTTTTTTCCACCCCCCTCCTCATACAGCTTAACAGGGGATCAGATTTCTGAAATGAATGTTTAGAAGGCTCCTTGGTCCAAATGTCACCTCCTTGTTTCAGCAGTGAATCATCTAATTTGTTTCTATTCTCCATCCCCTCCCAAGATGCACGGCCACTTACCTTAGTGCTCAGCTCAGCGTCCAACTCCCACTTTGGGTAAATGAGTCACCTAAATGAATACTTAAATTACAGTTGAGCGGTCCACTGACAGGCACCCACATTTCTTAAATCATCGATGTGAAGTACTGTCAACAAAAACTCTCCAAAGTATCTAGTTCAGTTTATAAAGAAACTTCTTGTCCTTGTCCTTTCTGTGGTTTTTGTCCTACCTATTGAGAATGTTGTCTCAGAAGCACAGGAGAAAGGAAATTAAATAGAGTGGCAGGTAAACTGAGGAGAAGAGGTATTGTAATGGAAGAACTTACAGGTAGATTCTTCAAAATTAGCTGCTTTTTTTTTTTTTAATTTGCTTGTAAGCATTTCTCAATGTGCCTTTAAGAATCTAGAATCTGATCTTGTCATGAAAACTATTGCTGCACTAATAGTCAGGCTTTTTTGAGGATATGAGCTGCTTGTGTCTGTAAAGCTTGTAGGTTCCCTGATTTGTACAAGTTAGCATTGTGCATGGAAAAATCCTGTTTTAAATGCTATTACCTTATATACACTGGAAATAACCTACACTGTTGTTCAAAAAGATTTGGAGAAGCTGAGTAGGTAATTGGGTTGTACCTAGGATAACCCCTCGTGTATTCTTAAATTATGATTTAAGTGATTGAGAAATTAAACTATGAAAATTAACGTAAACGTTATATGGGATTGCAGAGTGCTGGTGGTCTGTAATGGAAGAGCTGACAGAATACACACTCCGATTGTGATTTATAACAGATTAAGCTGTGTAAATGCAGCAGTTCTGATGTTGCCGTTCATAATGAAATATATTTAATTATCTGGTAGCTTTTTGGCAATGACCCTGTAAGCTGATGTTCTAGTCCGCATGCTAAGTTTTGCTCGCTTACTCCAAGCTGTTCAGTTTCAGCCTGAGGGTGTTCGTGGAAGAGCTGTCTGTAACAGAAGCTGCTCTACCTATCGGCAGAAGATCAGTGTGCAGGGATAGATACACAGGTGATGGTGTATCTGTCTGTCTACCATAGCCTGCTGAAAATCAGGTTGTATTCTTGTGTATATCATAGAATCACAGAATGGTTTGGGTTGGAAGGGACCTTAAAGACCATCCAGTTCCAACCCCCCTGCCATGGGCAGGGACACCTTCCACTAGACCAGGTTGCTCCCAGCCTCATCCAGCCTGGCCTTGAACACTTCCAGGGATGGGGCATCCACAGCTTCTCTGGGCAACCTGTGCCAGGGCCTCACCACCCTCTCCGGGAAGCACTCCTTCCTGATATCCAATCTAAACCTCCCCACTTTCAATTTAAACCCGTTCCCCCTTGTCCTGTCACTACAGGCCCTTGTAAAAAGTCCCCCCCAGCTTCCTTGTAGCCCCTTCAGGTACTGGAAGGCTGCAGTAAGGTCTCCCTGGTTGATCTCCTCTCAGATATGTAAAGCACAGCTTCAGAATGGGAAGGAGGTCGGCTCTATCAGTGTTTGTGGTAGATGTTTGGGGAAAAAAACCCATCTGTTGGGCTCTGGCCTCAACATTAACCTTCTGCAGCGCCTGTGATTCAGGATGGGTAGTCTGCGCTTCCAGCTCTCCTGCATCAGCTCCTTTCAGATGACTCATGCCTTTGGAGAGCGCAGTGCGTTCGGTTTAGTCCGGTTGGAAAAATCATCTCTCAAATGTTAGTACGTTAAACTGAGATTTAAAAGTACTAACTTTAGTCACTGTGCCTCTTGATTGTGGTGTTTCTGGGTGGCTCACAAGGCCATAAACCTGCCTGCTTTGGTGTGTGGCAACCCCAGCTGTGGGACGAGGGTGGTTGTAGCAAGGTGTTGCTTGTCCTCTACAAGAAGTATCCCAAGCAGCCCAAGTGTTACTGTCCCTTCGCTCAGAAGGATGGGCTTGTGGTAGTATCAGCAGGATCAGTGCCATGCAAAATAGCTGTAACCCACACTCCAAAAAAAAAAAAAAAAAAAAAAGGAGGAAATGAGCCCACTCCGTTATAATTACATCATTTATCAGTACACTTGTAAAGGACAATCTGTTTCCTCGTATCAATTCTCTGGCTCATCAACCATCCTCTCTCAGTATGAACTCTGGCAAATCTCTCAGCAAAGCTTTCTCCACTGTTTTAAAGTGAAATGGTACAAGAAACGCTCTGCAGAAAATCATCCACACCTGCCTCTGCAGAATTTTTGTTCTTGATTTTGAAGAAACACACCCATTTTCTTTTAGTTTTGATAAGAACACACAGCAACTGAGGCAGGTACTGGAGATCGTTGCTCCTTAGTACGTGTACAGCAATGGAAAGGGGAAATAGCTAAAGTGTATTTGGTACCAATACTTCATTCTCCTGGCCACCTGCTTGGAAGAGCATAGATCTCAACTGAGGACAGTTCTGCTGTCCTCTTTACCCTTTTACTGAGTCAGGATAACTGCAGCAAGAAAGGTAAGTGATCGCGTCATTCACAAAGGAGGCAAAGCTGAAAAGCAATGATAGAATTGTCTAGTTGGTATAAACGATTATTGTCTTTCCTCTGATGTATTTCCCACTTATCAGTTTGGTCTTGATCAGCAGGTTGCCTAACTTTGTCATGTCTCCAAGTGAGTGAGTCTTGAAAATGATAGAGGGGAATATCCTGACGGTTAAGTGGTCACATGGAGAATATAAGTGAAAAAAACTATTGCTAAAGAATCATAGAATCACAGAATGGTTTGGGTTGGAAGGGACCTTAAATATCATCTAGTTCCAACC